AAATTAATTTAGAATGTGCATGTGGATGGAAGTTGTGTAATTGAGACTAACGTACTTATTGTACGCATTAAAAGCCCAGGTAAGTGCAATTGTGTGCCTGTTATGTGGTTGTTGAGTGTTATTGTGTTTGGACTTGTCTGGAGGTACGTGTTAGCTTAGGTGGGGTTTATGGTGTTTACTTGCTGAGACGTGTCTCATGATTGTTTAACCAAACCATTTCAGAACCCCGGCCTGGACCATGAATCTTCCACCGCTACCGCCTCAGCATTTTGGCATACCGATGCACACCGACTATGCAGTGGTAGAGTATCCCGTAGGTGATGATATGGCTTGGATCAAGCACACCACCGTAGTTTGGGTAGATATAGGACAACCCCTTTGGCAAGCCCACACTTATACCGCATGGTGTTTTCGGGATGGTATGGACGAGTTCGGTCCCGTTCGAGGTTTTGATGTTGCTTTTGACGGAGTGGGAGATTGGGACCCATCGGCTATATTCCCTCCTGATGGTGAGATGACTAGCCTGGACACTAGCCTCGCACAGTCAGGACATCAGCCTGTACCTGCAGCACCCGAACCCACAGTGGCTGAGCCTGATTCGGAACCGGAGGAGTCACAAGCAGGGTTCGACCCGATTGATGTGGATTTAAGTGTAGTGCTAGAGGAAGAACCCGAAGAAGAGCCTGAGGAGGAACCAGAGGCCGAACTAGAAGAAGAGCAAGAGGAAGAACCAGATGAGGAGTCTGAAAAAGAGGAGCGAATTGAGATTCCGTTAGAGTCGGGGGATGAAGACAACCCGATTGAGATCGAGGCAGATTCGGGGTCATTAGAGGAGCAGGTGGCTCAGGGGGAATCGGATTCGGGTTCTGGGGAAACCGACTCGGAGTTGACACCGTCTAGAGGGCGTAGGGGTTAGTTTAGGGGTAGGGTAAACCCTTTTTCAAGTGTCCCATTTTTGGAGTAAAGCATACCCAGACTACTAGTCCTTTTTGTTATCGGTGGTGTAAACTTTAGAAGCCGGTGTGCATGTATATTATGTGTATTGTAAATGGTGTGTATTGTATAAGTTTGACTTGATAATGAAGGTATATTCTCCCTATTATTCCTTTCTAAATATTATCTGGGTATTTGTTGCTGCCGCTAGTGCTTCATCTCTGAATGTATGGGGTCGGCGATATCCTGGGACGTCGCGATATTCGACCATAGAAGTATGTCGCGAGCTCGATGGGGTTCGGGGCGTGACACATATTGATCATCCTGATCAATTATGTGAAGGGTGTATTATCGGCAAGCATTCCAGAACTAGCTTTCCGAAAGAGGTGACTTATTGAGCGAAGAAGCCGCTTGAGTTGATTCATTCTAATTTGTGTGGCCCGATCAATCCTCACTCATATGGTAATCATCGATATTTTGTTACTTTTATTGATGATTTTACTCGGAAAATTTAGGTGTATTTTTTGAAAGAAAAGATAGAAGTGTTTGATACTTTCAAACAATTCAAGAACTTGGCTGAAAAGGAAAGCGGCTATTTTATCATGGCTTTGAGGACTGATCGTGGTGGAGAATTCACCTCAGCCATATTCAACAAATTCTGTGAAAATCATGGTATTTGGCGTTTCTTGACGGCCCCGTATTCTCCTCAACAAAACGGTGTGGCTGAATGGAAAAATAGAACCATTCTTGATATGGTTCGAAGCATGTTGAAGAGCAAAAATTTGTCCAAGGAACTTTGAGTTGAAGCTGTTTCGTGTGCCGTCTATCTTCAAAATAGATGTCCCACATATGGACTTGAAGGCGTAACTCCACAAGAGGCATGGATCGGGAGAACACCAAGTATTTCGCACTTGAGAATTTTCGGGAGCATTGCCTATGCTCATGTCCCGGACAAAAAAAGATCGAAACTTGAAGACAAGAACAAAAATCTCATCTTTATTGGGTATGACTCATCATCCAAAGCTTATCGATTATTTGACCATAACACTTTGAAAGTGTATGTAAGTAGAGATGTCAAGTTCGATGAAGATGGAATGTGGGAAGAAAATCTAAAAGAAGAAGCGAATGTTCGTGATGATTCCGATCAAACGGAGTTGAATGATCAACCTTCACCTTCTTTTCCAACATCTTCTTCAAGTTCATCAACACCATCCTCTTCAAATAGTGTCGATGAACCGCTAGTGCCAAGATCGAGAAGATTGTCTGAAATTTACGAAACTACCGAAGAGCTTCATCTTATATGTCTTCTTGCAGATTATGAACCACTTGCTTATGATGATGCGGCCAAAGAAGAAAAATGGAAAAAAGCCTTGAACAAAGAAATTGAAGCCATCGAGAAAAATCAAACATGGGAGCTTGCTAATCTTCCGAAGGACAAGAAATCGATTGGTGTTAAATGGGTGTATAAGGCCAAGAAGAATGAGAAAGGTGAAGTGACAAGGTACAAAGCTAGATTAGTCGAGAAGGGGTACAAGCAAAAAGCCGGAATCGACTATGATGAAGTTTTTGCCCTTGTCATTCGCACGGAAATGATTAGATTGATTATTTCTATTGCTGCTCAAAATAATTGGCGGATTTATCAAATGAATGTCAAATCAACATTCTTGAATGGCATCCTTGAAGAAGAAATTTATGTCGAACAACCCAAGGGGTTTGTTGTAAAAGGTCATGAAGACAAAGTGCTGAGGTTGAAGAAAGCTCTATATGGGCTTAAACAAGCACCGAGAGCATGGAATCCCAAAATTGATGCATATTTCAAGGCGAATGAATTCTCTCAATGTCCATACGAGCATGCACTCTATTTGAAGCAAGAAAAAGGTGATATTCTACTCGCCTGTTTATATATTGATGGTCTTGTTTTTACAGGAAATAATTCGGTGATGATTGATGCTTTTAAGGCATCGATGGTGAAAGAATTTGAGATAATCGATAATGGTCTCACGAATTATTTCCTTGGTATCGAAGTGAAGCAAAGTGCCGATGGGATTTTTATTTCTCAAAAAGGATATGCAGAAAATATCCTTGAAAAATTCAACATGAAGAACTGTATGCCGGTCAATACACCAATGGAGTGCGAAACCAAGCTTTCGAAGTTTGATGATGGTGCCGATGTTGATTCGACATATTATAGAAACTTGATTGGGAGTTTGAGATATTTGATATGCACGAGACCGAATATTATGTATAGTGTTGGAATTGTGAGTCGATACATGGAGAAGCCAAAATCATCTCATCTTAAAGCTGCAAAGAGAATACTTAGGTACATCAAAGGTACTATTTCTCATGGCTTACACTATTATTGCTCTGAATCTTTCGAACTTAGAGCTTTTTCGGATAGTGATTATGGTGGAGATATCGACGATCGAAAAAGCACCACGGGATTTGTATTTTTCTTGTGCGACACTGCTTTCACGTGGTCATCAAAGAAGCAACCAAGTGTTACTCTGTCAACATGTGAAGCTGAATATGTAGATGCATCTTCATGTGTTTGTCATGCAATATGGTTGAGAAGGCTACTCACACATATTCTTATGGAGCAGAAGAAAGCAACGGAGATTTTTGTTGATAATGTTTCTGCTATTGCTTTGGCGAAAAATCCAGTTTTTCATAAACGAAGTAAACATATCGATGTTCAATACCACTTCATTCGAGAATAGGTCAAAGAGAATGAAGTTGAAGTATTGCATGTGAAGACCGGAGATCAAGTAGCAGATATTTTTACTAAACCTCTTAAGATCGATGCTTTTCGAAAGTTGAAGAGCTTACTTGGAATGATCAATGGAAGAGAATTTGGTTTAAGGGGGAGTGTTAGAAATTAAACTAAATTTGTTGGTACTAGAAATTAAACTAAATTTGTTGGTACTTGTTTTTTTTTTTTGAGTCTGTTCATATTTTCATATTTTGATTTTTTGTGTTTTTAGGTGAAATAATTGTTTTTTCAGATATATGGTGAGATATTAAGAGATATGGTTAGATATTAAGAGATAAGATGAGATATTATGAGATATTATTTCTAGTTATATTTTAGGAAAGATAAGGGTCAAGTAACTTTTCTTTAAATAGGGGAGTCTTGTAATTTTTTATAAGAGTGAAATCTGAGTGAAATATATTGAGTCAGAAAATTCTGTCTATCCTTTTCTTTTCTTTGCGCGAGTTGCGATTATTTCATCTTCAAAAATTTCTTTCATCAAATCAAGTTGTTACCGCGTCTCTGACGCTCAACAGAAACCACAGGCGAATGTATTTGAGTTCATTCAAAATAGGCCACTGCTTGATGCTTCTTCCCTAGCCTTGCATTTTCTCAGCGAGCCAACAGAGCCCCTAGTTATTAAAACCCAACCAAAACCCTCACATTGGCCTGTGACTCGTGAATTTTAAACAGCATTGGACCTTCGAACGTCAGACAAAGTCCGCGGGTCTGACCTCATTCACTCACGGGACAGAGACGTGATCTAACAAAAGAATAAATCAACCACTAGTTATGAGAGAGCGAGGCAGGGATGAAAGCGAACTACCGATGACGATGATGCACTTGTCGAGCTTAGTGCAGCACTTCATACGACGGAGAAGCTCATTCATGAGATCGACGGAAGGCACACCTTCCAGATTCACCGCACTCGTGCTCGCCATTCTCGCAATAGTTTCTCGCACGCGGGATTCGGTTACTCCACTTCTCGAAGAAGAAACCACGAGTAGAGAAAGAGAGAGAGAGAGAATGAACATATACTCTTTTCCTGTTAAGGAGAGTCGTAGAAAAGCTAGAAACGAAAACGACAGGAATCTTCGATCCTCTCCCAAAAGCCATCGACCATACCGAACAACCTATCCATGGAAGTCCACTTCCCGCTTCTGCCCTTGATTTAGAACTGACCATGCAAGTACGGGAAAAGGAGATAACTGCACTATTGTTTTACGAACAAACTCATGAAGATAATAACAATAAGTCTCTCCGTTGGGAGTTCCTGAAACACTCAAAATCAGCAAATGGCTTATGAATTTACTCAAATTCATATCGGGGCTTGGCATTCGGGGGGAGTCTGAGGATGTCTAGTCTTATCCGTACAATAGTCGTAATCCAAGTACTCCCGCTTCGCATTTTGGTGTTGCGCTATTTGAGCTGTGTTTAGGGTCTGATTTTGCGCCCATGCATCTCCGTGAGTGTAGTTGCATTTCCCTGGATTCGAAGGGTCGGACACGACGCACCCATCAATGTCAAAGCCTTGGTATTGGGCTTTGAACGGGCCCTTGGACCAATCGATCTTCCCGGCCCACCCCTCGGCGTGCCATATCGTCGCTTCCACTAGCATCCCTTGTGTTGGGTAGTTCGCTTCGTTCCCCAAGTTCTTGAACACTCTGAGCGGTATGTCGTCCACAAAAAACCTACCATAATAACAAATATCAAAATGGATTTGCGACGCCGCATTTCGACAAAAGAATCACATATCGGGAGCTTAAGATCTTTAGTTCGTACTCGGACGACATAATGATAACACCTTCGTAGCATCGCATTTTCATTGTTTTCGGTTTATGTCCTCATCTAGTTATATCTTCATCAACTTATGTTTAGCCATTACCAAATAGATGGTTTCTCATTTCAAACAGACACGTAGAGAAAGAGAGAGACTTACACTACTTGATATTGGTTCCAAAGAATCGTATAGGAATGGAAATCGGTAGACGGATCAAACCAAAGACGAAATTTTTGCTCCCGGTTCCCAACTCCTTTTGTGAATACGTTGGTACTCAATTCATAAGGTGGTCCGTTGGAACCAATGAACTCAAAGTCAATCTCATCGTGTTGGGCTTCCTTTGAAGTTAGCTACGAGCCAAATTTCAAAAGCGTCACACATCGAAATCCCCGAAAGAAAATATGATGGTAATAATAAACAAGTGTAGCTAAACTCTTATGGGCATGTTATGGCAAGAGTGCATAGTAGATGTATTCAAGAAGGCCCAGATGAAAAGAAAAAGCTCACTCACATAGAAGGAGGTAACAACTCCTGGTGATTTACTATTTGCACTTTTGATCCTCATGTTGAATAATCCAGATAGAAGACGTGATTTAGATTGAAAGCCAGCCCCTGAAAATTTGAGTTTGAATGACAAAAATACAACTTAAAGACATTGCCGTAAAAACGAAATAAAAAAGAAATATAGATAAGTAAGATCTACCATAAAATGATGAGACATAACTAAAATGAAACAAATCACGAAACATCTTGATCACCTGAACTTTGATCCAATGTAAGTTGGACTTCAGTATCGCCGTTGAGGCTGGAAAAATGATCATTTCCCCAAATGATATTGTAGTTCTGAGAGAAGGTAACTTGTCCTCTTCCACATGCAAATAACATAGTCACCATCACAAAGCCGAGGAAGCCCGAAAGCAGATAAGATTCCATGGATCCTCTTTCAAACTCTTGAGTTTCACTGAGTCCTGTGTTAATTTTCACCAACTCATCAATCCGACACTTTATATAGAAATATATTCAAAGCCTCGCCGCTTGCGGTGTGTAGAAGTACAAACGTCACATACGAGAACGTGGAATGCAATTTGAGAAGCATTATGAAGATGATATACTTTATGTTGCTTTAAACAAATGCCTTGTGAATGGCGTTATTCTCCAGGGGACCGTAGAATCTTGCATTTCAGTTTACTCTCCCGTGGCATGTAAACCTACTTTGCATTCATTTGGTCAATTCTACTTGCCATAAACTCAACACAATTTGCACGAATCAATCATAACCACGAAAGAGCAGCAGGAAACTGCTTTTTTGCAATAGTCACGAGATCTAAGGAAAACGTCATGCAAATAGTCTTGCTAATCGAAATGACAAGAAGAAACTTAGTTGGAAACGGAGCCAATACAGATGAATAAACTCACAGTGATAAAATAAACCCTCAAATGAAGGATATCGCAAGATTTGAGGTAACTACAATCGTTTTACACGTGATTTACTCGCAATATATAGGCGACCCAAGATGAGTAATTGATTAAGTCCATTCTCACTCTTTGAAGAAAGATTGGATCTGTCCCAGAATACTATGAAATCCACAATAAAAGAGTTCTACGTTGGCATATCTCATCTAGCTATTGGACTTCTTTTTGTTTCCTAAGAAAAGAGGGCAAAATTCTACTGTTACGTCATTACTTTCCTAACAAAACTTGATCCGATTTGATCTCTCCGTGGTATATTTAATGCCAGAGTGTCATTTACATCACATGATTTAAATACCCATTTTGCTAACTTACACGAGTTTCCTTTTAAAAAATTTTGTGCAATTTTGACCTATTGGAAATACTCTAATAGTTTTCTGATCTGAGAAAGCATAATATCAAGAGTGTCATTTACATTAAAGGATTGAAATACCTGATTTAAGGCAAAAGAACACTACAAGTGCCATAACTTGTGTACGGCGCTCACTTTAGTGCCATAACTTTTTTTTGGATCACTTTAGTGCTAAAATTTTTGAAAAACGATCACTTAAGTGTTAAAATTTTTGAAAAACGATCACTTAAGTGCCAACTCCGGTGCTGTACACAATTTTTCGTCGGAAATCTGACGTGGCATTTTTTTTATTAATTTCTGAAGCTGACGTGGCTCGCCGGAGTCTCGCCGGAGATTGGCACTTAAGTGATCGTTTTTAAAAAATTTTAGCACTTAAATTATCGTTTTTCAAAAAATTTAGCACTTAAGTGATCATTTTTCAAAAATTTTAGCACTGAAGTGATCCAAAAAAAAGTTATGACACTTAAGTGATCGTTTTTCCTCCGACTTGGCACCAAAGTGATCCGAAAAAAAGTTATGGCACTAAAGTGAGCGCCGTACACAAGTTATGGCACTTATAGCGTCCTTTTGCCCCTGATTTACTAATCAATATGCACACGAGTTTCCTTTTCTAACAATATGTCCAATTTTGACCTATGGAAAATACTCTCTCTCTCTCTCTCTCTCTCTCTCTCTCTCTCTCTCTCTCTCTCTCTCTCTCTCTCTCTCTCTCTCTCTCTCCGAATTCTTGTCCGGTATTAGGGATCTTAGAATAGTGAGATAACGCCTTATCCTAGTAATGAGGCCAAAAGACCTTATGCTCATAATAAGAACTAAGAGTCGGTCCCGACATGTAAGAATTTAGCTAGATGCTAAAGTCGGTCCCCAATAAGAATTTATTTGGATGCTAAAAGTCGGTCCCAACAGGGTAAGACCTATAAAGGCACTACAAGGGACTGAATACTTGCATCTGCTCACTTCTGTTCTACGCATAGACAACTTTTTGATATCAGAGCCCCGGATTATGTGACGTAGTATCATTCTAAGATTCATAATGCCACATAGTTTGAAGGGAAGGTATCAATAACAATGAGTGAAACCACCCCATCCGAAACAATTTCACAAGATGTTTCAGACCTTAACTCCATCAAACTCTTTTCGTAGATCCGAAACCTCTAAGATCGATTGGCTTTATGAAGTTTCCTACCTCAATGAAGTTGAGAAGATCTCATCTACTACTCTTCCTCTTGTAAATCACTATGCTGCTTTTGCGAAACACACATCCTCCTTTTCTCCCATCCGCTTTATAAGGTAGTTAATCCGTCACACTCCAAAAGAGGTGAAGGAATATATACAATCTACCCGATTTGATCAACATCCTATTCCCATTATCCAGCAGTAATGGTTTGTTACTCTTCAAATTCCTTTTGAATTCTTTTGACAGTGGATCTAGCAAGGGTACACTCATTTGCACTATGGTGCAATTTCTCTTGCTTTATCATTCCATGGTCGAAAATGTCTTCCTGTTGCTGCTCGTACGGCTCTTCTCAATACAAGGTTTCTTGACTACCAACATGCCTGTATTGGGACATTCGAGACTACCCTGAATGTTGGAACAATGTTTGTCACCCTTTTCCAAATCTCAATATGGCACTTTACGATCCTCAACTTTTTACTGTCTTGAAAGTCTAACTCCAAATTGCTGGAGCTCCTTAGGTAGCAAATTTTGTTGTTGTTACCTTGCAATATCAAATAGTGTATAGGGTTCAAAACCATGCCATAAACCTTTCTCTTCCGACATCAGAAGAAGCCTTAATGATCTCTATGGACAACAATCATGCAACATCTTATGTTCACGTTCCCAGACAAATTTTCAGAGATGAGTTGGTTAAACTCCTTCCAGAAACCTGGGTAACCAACTATGAAAAACTCCACAAGGATGTTCATCCAGTCCAATTCACCAAACCAAAGTTTACCAAGGAAAAGGATGGCTGTATGGTTATTAAAATTGACTGCATGGAATAGAAGACAAAAGCATTTAGCTCTATCTTCTCTACTCTTCTTATGGTCCAACCTGGTCAGGACGACCAAGAAGATGGGGAAGATAGACCTAGCCACAAACTCCAGACAGGTCTTCCGGTGCACTCATTTAATCCCCCATGCAACCGTTAATTATTTTTTGTGTGGGCAGAATTTGTTAGAAAATGTATTGACTTTCAACAAAAATTTGTGAGGACTCATATATCTTTGTTGACTGCGGCATCAGAATTGCTGCCATGACTCAGATAACTTTATGAGATGATTGTGAATGCAAGTGGTGTTGTCAAGTAATAGTGCTTGTATATGCAAAACAAAGTTATTCGACTAACCTGAAATCACGTTCTGACGAGTAATCCAAATGTCAACGAATGATCCGAGCCCAACGAATTCACGTTGTGTCCTTAAGACAATTTGTCTCATCTACCGGTACCCAAGGTTGTTGAACAATTGTCTCCCAGGATAGAACGGATTGCCTTTCCAAAGAAGTGGTTCTTCTTCAAAGGAAATGTTCGAACGCAACTTCGCAGAATAATCGCACAAGTGACAATGATGAAGAAACGGAAAAAAAATGAAAAAATATCTAGAGTGCGTCGGGAAAAAGTCTCGCGGGAAAAAAATGCCACGAAGAGTCACACTACCGAACACAACAGTTCGGTTATATATAGCGAAAATGAAGAGTAGCTTGAATCGAAGCGGTTTTCGTTCGGGCCATGAACAGTCGCGACTTGAACCGATGCGGTTTTTCGTTCGGGCGAACCAAACCTCATGAACAGACATGTTTATTTGTCCAAAATAAATAAAAATAAAAACCGATGGAATGGACCCGAGCTCAGCCCGGCCAGACGGCGGCGGTGCACGCGTGGGGGGGAACCGACCTAGCTTGGCGTAGGTCCTCTCCCTTCCAACAAAGTGGGGTACTCCTTCGGGCCCAAACCCATTTGAGAGGTTCATCTAAATAAACCATCTCCCATTACAACTTCTATCCAATGTGGGACTATTTCCATCCACACTTCTCATTCACAATTTATGGATTTTGGATACTAAAATCCCAACAAGTGGAAGGTACATTTCTTTCTCCCTTCTAATCTTCAATTTGGCTTCTTTTCTGGTTTTCTTCTCTTTGGTTCAAGCCATTTTGCTGCTTGTATTTTCGGTCCAACATTTGTTCGCAACCTTGGCCGTGGTCTCTTGCGTGACTTAGCGCATTGAAGCAATTGTTGTTTTAAGGAGACAGCATAGGCACTCACTAGTCACTACCAGCGATTCGGGCGTATTGAGAATTAATTTCGCGAGTATTTATTATTTTTCATTTACAAAAGCCTTGATGAAGTCTCTAAGGTGAGGATCAAATGGCGTTTGTGTTAGGTTTTGGTGTTGGAAGGCTAGTTTAGATAGCTCTTCCTATTCCCACAATGAATACTCATATTAGATTAAGTGCAAGTAATAATAACACAAATCGTCCTTGACATTTGGCCTAATATGCAATTTTTGGATCCATAAAACTTTAATATATTTAATGTGGTTTCTAAAATTTAGCCCAATGTGCAATATGGTCTCTTAAATTTTAATTTATTCAATATGGTCAATGGATTTTTCTTTCCTAAACGGGCCATAAAAACTTTATCTTTCAGTATATTATATTCACACCTTTGACAAAATTATATTTTGATTTTGGGGTTGTTTTTTTTTTAATCGAAATTTCGGGATTGTTTACGTTAGTCTTATAGTTGTTGAGGAAAACTCCTATTGATTTTGAAGTTGACAAAATATTCCATGTTATTATAAATCTGATACTTATTCTAAACTATTTTATTCCAGGTATGTATATATATTATGGAAGCTCAGAATGAAGTTTTTCAGACTTTACAAGCTGGCAAAATAAGAAGTTTATATCTTATTGAAGACCCACATAATCTTAGTTCTGAGAAACAGACGCAGAAGTTATTCAGATGCAGACACAGACGCAGAAATTATTCAGACGCTGACACAGGTACAGAAATTATTCAGACGCAGATGCAGACACAGAATTTCTTCAGACGCAGAATTTAGAACGAATCATAACAGCTAGTGATCTGGCATGGATTTCACAGAAGGAAAGTTCTGATTGTCTCAATCTCAATCAAATTG